ACTGCCATAACTATTTTAAGGCACAATGCTCTGTGTGCTGGGATGTCCACTGTACTGTCTTCAGCAGGTATCTTGCTTCTACCACCTGTTTCTTGCTCTCTTTCCTCTCTGGTGTTAAAACTGTTTCCTGGATCTAGGATGTTCTCAGTCCTAGGTCCAGAAAACACATTCCACTCCTGGCTCTTATTTCTTGCTGGTGGTAAGATTACCTGCTTCCCACCTCTGAGGTGACATATTTATGTGGAAAAGTTATACAATAAGTAGGTGGGCCACAGTAACTTATCGGCATAGTTTCACCCGGTCATCTGATGGGAATTACAAAGAATATGTCTAGAAGAACCATTTAAAGCAATGCACCTCACCCACTAAACATCTCTAAAGTTGACAAATCTGAAAAAAGTAAACATTTACATGAAATTAATCCTAAAATATATTGACTCACTTATGTGAGTCTCATAAGCTCATGCTCAACATAGTTTAACCTATTTACAATAAATTAAACTCATCATCCAAACAGCAATTGGATAATAGTATCCAATAGTGCTCCTGGCTGCTTTTGAGGGTATGTATTTGCACACATGTGTGAAAACACACGTAATTCCACAGTTATCCTTTCCCTATAATTTATGACTTTAATGTTTCCTTATAACAAAAATCTCTCCCATACCTAGACTTTAATCTTTTAATCTGCTTAATCCATGGGCTAATCTGCCTAATCTATAAATAACCTTAATTGAAAGATACTGTTAATAGAACTAAAAATATAGAGTTTAAAGGTATCACAAAATGCTAAAAATATTCATTTGCATCTGAAGTGTGTTTTTTGTTTGTTTTTGAAAACACAGGCTTACTTATTCTAGAATGCTAATGCTGCTAAAAATGTAAACATTAGACATGTGTAGTATATGAAAGGCAATAGTACCAATTATGTAGATGTTATCTTTTACATAATAAAGAATAATATTCTGTTTTTACCCTTGAGGTTAAATAAACTTAGTGAATCAATTTAACAACTATTTTCAAATATTAATAATTTCTCAGGATATAGTTTAATATGTATCTGTTTTGTTGAAATATGTGTGTAATTATTCTGTAATTTGATTTCTGGTGGGCATTTAGAAAATTCCTATTAAATTTAATATTGTTTTAATTAAATTTATTTCTTAATATTATTCTGCTATAAATCTCTACATTGAGGGAGGAATTAAATAAATTTTCAGCTGTCTACACAGTGAAACTCAAGTATTAAGTCTTAGAAACTAAACATAACTGGCAGTTTGAGAAATCCTAAAAAAAGCCAAACCAGTTGCCATGAGTCAATTCTGTTTCACAATTACTCTCCATCGGCATTTTCAGGCTATAAAACTTTAAGAGTGATTAGTGGATTTAAAAACTCAGATCTGCTGGTTAGCAGCCCTATATATTATACAGATAATAACCTGGAGAGTGGCATCAACAAAGGAATATACCTATACACATTGTTGTTGTTGATTGCTGTTGAGTTGAGCACGACCCACAGTGACCCTATGAAAAAAAGGCCTTAAGCCTTTCTATAACTATGATCATTTATTAAAATTCATAGTTTCCAGAGGCATGTTGTTTAGGAAGTGGATGCTTCCAAAACCTATATATAGCCAAAAAGAATCACTGTATTGCCACTGAAAAGAAATTTAAGATTCGAGATAGTTTTAGAGCCTGCCTTTTTATTTTGGGAAACAAAAACCTTGAACAATACAACTGACTTGTATCGGATCAAATTGCTAGCTAGCAAACAAACCACAAGAATTAACAGTTCCTGATTGAGAGTTAATTGTCTGGTCTGCTATATACTACTAACATGCATTGCATTTGTTATTCTAAAATCCAAAAATGTAAAAACCTGAGAGCATAAAGATAACTGTATGTATCACTTAATGCTTGACACAGAGTTTGAAATAGGACATTAAAGGCTGTGGATGTTGTGTGGAGATCCAAGCACAGAGGCAGGGGCTGCTGCGTAGTGTGTGGCCAGGCAGTTTGAGCTGTGGACACCTCTGGTGAGCATTCAGCCAAATCCTGCCCACTCTTTCAGCCTTCTCCACTAAGTGAGCTGTATGTTATTAAGTCCAGCTCACTTGTGAGATTCTGCTTGGGGAAGGGCTGTTGTGAGTCAAGGGGGCCTGGAATAACTAAGCCAAGGCTGGGTCACATACCTTTCCACCTGTCACTCTAAGGGAGCACACAGGGCAAAATGTGGGGATTAGACCCACTGGGGTTGGGAGTTTGAACCTGGGTGCTCAGTTTCTGGGGAACTATTTATGAGGGCAGAAATTTCTGTAAAGGATATTAAGTACTATATACATGTACTTGTCACACTGTAGGAATTAAATCCTAATATACATTTTTAAATGAACAAGAAATTAGATAATTGGACCAACAACTCTAGAGATACACTTTCCTTCCTTCCCACATACGGCATGTACTACCCCTTCCTTCATGCTCATGTCAGGGGAAAAAGTGGCTGCATCATTCCATGTTTGACTAAGTTAATGGAAAAGCTTTAAGTCTCTTCCAAACCTATGAAAATGTCACAGTTATTACCAAAAAAATCTCCCAACAATCAAAGGCATCATAATCACCAATTTTAACTATTTCCCTTAAAATATGAACAAACAGTTCTTACTGTTCTGTAAGTACTTGCTAGTAGCATCATCCCAACTGTCAAGGAACAGACACTTGAGTCTGAAGTTTCTTGATTTCCCCTTCTCTTCTGTGCACCACAGTTCAAGCAGACACTAAAAATCTCCTACTCTATGGAGATGTGTGGAGATTAACTTTACAATGTCCTGTTTTTTAACGTTTCAGATACTGTTAGAAAGTGTGACTCACTTTCTCCTACCCACTTCCTTATTTTTACTTTTTCTGCTTAAAACACTTTTTAAAAAAGAAATTATTTTATACTGGTTTACTTACAGAGTTGATATACATTGTTTTTCACAGGTCTTTCCTACTTCCTTTACCCACCCATCAAATTGTGCAACCCTCTGATTACCTCCCTGCTCATTCTCACACCTCTGTTTCTACTTTCCCTCCCCCGAACCTTGGATCCTCATACATGTTTTACTAGTTATCTATTTCTACAACAATAGTCTTATACGTTATTTGTCCTTATGGGACTGAGTCCACTCAGCATAATGTTCTCCAGTCCCTCCCACATTAGGTCGTGATTTACAAAATCATTGCTCGTGCATGCAGTGTAGTATTCCATTGTGGGATTGTACCATAATTTCTCAAGCCATTTGATTGTGGTGAGACATTTGGGCTGTTTTCCTGTTCTTGCAATGGTGAATAATGTTGCTATGAACAATGGTGTACAAATCTGTTTCTACCTCAGTTCTACTTTTCTCAGGGTATATTCCAAGCAGTGGAATAGCTGGGTCATATGGAACATCTATGTTCAGCTTGTTGAGGGAGTGCCAGACTGACTTTGTACCATTTTACAATCCAAGCAGGAGTGTATAAAAGTTCCTATCTCTCCACATCCTTTCCAACATTTATTACTTGCTGTCCTGTTAAATTTTCTCACTGCTATTGTGGTGACAAGGTATCTCATTGTAATTTTGGTTTGCATCTCTTTTTGCCAGTGATTTTGAGCATTTCTTCATGTTAGACACTTCTTTTAACAAGTCAGTTTTAAAAAGAAAAATTCACAAACTAAAATATTGGCTCTCCTTCTGTTTTAGATTTCTCTAAGGGTCAATGATAATTTTATCATAAAGTGGATTTTAAAGTTCTCAGAACATCTAATAATCACTTTTCACTCCAATATAGTAATCTTAGTTCTGTGTAAAGCTCCATAAAAGGTCAGATACAGGAGTTGGTTTCCTCTTATCAGATGCTCAATTTTCAACTCTTTTAGAAAGGAGAAGAGAGACTAATAGAAACTTTTTTCCTTATCTTCAGAGATATAAAAAACTTTCAACTATAAGAAACTTTATGATGCCTGCTGTATCTCATCCTTGATCAACAAATGAAAAGTAATTTATAAAAATCTAGTAATATGTTCAAAGCACTTTACTGATACAACTGTAGAACAAAAATGTCATGGCTCTGTGACTAGAATGATATATACAAGTTTCTGTTGTAACACCGGTAAATTAAGAATGTATTTTGTTAGCACATTGTTATCTGCGTTTTAGCAGAACGACCACAAAAGTGGTTCACTGAGAGGATATTAAGTTCAAGTTCATCAAAGTCCCACCACCCTGTAGTGTTTGGCACTATTGACATAAGGCAAGTGAGCTGCACTGGTCTGGGAATCAGACTATAAGAGTTATGGGTGGTAATTGCTTCTAACCAGTAGTGCAATCTTAGAAAAGAAACTCACTTAATCTCTCCAGGACTATTTCTTCTATCAATGAATCACTAAATTATGAATGATCTATACAGGATTTTCAAACTCCAACATTATAAATCAAGTACTAAGTAGAAAGGGTTGGGTGTGTTTTTTTGTTGTTTTTTTTTTAAATTAGGAGCTGCAAGTTGTAAATTTCATCTGCTAAGTAATATGTAAATATTTCCTTTCTACACATGAACAACATGTTTGTGGTTTTTTTATACCAATGCACAGAAGAAGAAAAAGTGCAATCACTCCTAAGAGTGCAGGAGAAACACTCATTAGAAGTGAGAGCTTGAAAACTACTCAGGTCATGCGGGTGGTGTGACCCATCAGTTTCACAGGTATCATAAAATAAAGAGGCTCTGTGTGGAGCAAATGCATAAACCTACTTATTAACGAATGGTTGGCTGTTTGAATCCTTCCAGAGGTAACTTGGAAGAATGTTCTGGCAATCTTAATTCTAAACCCTGTGGAGTGCAGTTCTACTATGAAAACACATGGGAACTGCCCTAAATTGGAACTGACTCAATAGTAACTTTGTGAAAATAGACAATTTGAAAACAGCAATGGGAGGAATGGCCGGTGCTTCCCCCTATTTTTGAGTCACATTCACAGACATTACCTTCAGCTCATGATTCTGATCCATCTGTTCCAGGTCCAGCGGGCATTCTCCATTTTCGCTCTCTTGGACCTTGGCTTCTGTTTCTGTCTCTCCTTCCAGAGTGAACATAGGGTCTATACCAGGAGTCCTGCAGTTACTGTCAGAGGCATTTCCATCACCGTTACTTGTGGTGGGTGATGCAGGGCCTGTGGCAGTTTCATCTCGTTCTCCATTTACCAAGTTACTATCAAGCAAAGGTTCAGAGGTTTGAATAGAAGTATCTGGGCTAAGAGGGATCACCTTCTCCTCCTCACATTCCATCTGGTTCTGTGTTGCCATCACACCATTGGCCACACAAGTCTGTACACCCTGAGTTTGATCTGTGTCATCCTCCTGCTTCTGTGGTGGCTCCTGGGAGAGGAGTTTTTGCTGAGGTGTGGTTGTCAATCCATACTTGGTTGGGGTTTTAGGAGTACTGAGGCTCACAGGAGCTTCTTTCTTCAAATCACTGTAACTTGATAATGTGCTAGAAGGCAAAATACAAAGGAAGCATGAAAACACTGGCCAAAAAATATCATCCTAGAATAAAGATAAACTTATTCCACCTGAAACGGGCTTGTGTTCACAGGACAGAGCAGATTCCTCCCGTTTTCTGCATGCCAATCCCAGGGAAAATAGTCATACAGCGTCCTTGGGAAAAAAAATCAATGCTTAGTTCTCTGGAGAATTATTATTTCTTAATGTTGGAAGTCTTTATTTATTTCTTTTTCACCTCTCTTGCTCTCAAAAAAAGTAAGCAAGCAAGCAAATAAAATTCTGAAGAAAACATAGGAGAAAATCAAATCCAAGTATTTAAAATCTGTCTACTCAATCACTTGTTCCAATAGAATAGTCTTGCTTGGATTATTGCACAGAACAAAGCTGTTACAGGCATAAGAACTTAATAGTAATACTTTTAATGACCATCCTGACTAGATCTCTCATTCAGCAAGGTCTTGATCATCCTCATGGATCTTTTCTCTCTAAATTGCTAAGGTGTGAAAACAGACTTTAAAACTACTTGTACATGGGTATTATTTTACTCAAAAGGAAATACGAACTTTCCACTAATGGCCTACACTATATCTTTGAGACTTTTATAAAAATCTGAGACTTTTATAAAAATCAGAATCAGAATGTGGTGTACCTTCAAATTGGGTCTGACCTATTGGCGCCTCCAGTAGGGTTTCAGAAGCAGTAAATCACAAGGAGGAGACCGCCCATCCTTCTCCCACAGAGCAGCTGATGGATTCAAAACATGTATGTTTGGGATTGCAGCATAGCATCTTGCTACCAGAGTTCCCTAAAAGAAGGCTTTGACCATGATGTATCCTGAACACACAACCTTTTGATTCGGAGACAGTTGTGCTACCATTGTGCCACAAGCTAACCATGAAATGAAATTAAAAATAGACACTTTTTTCCTCAAAGCCATATTAATATATTGGAACACTTTAAAAGGAACAGTTTCCAGTGGTAATATCTCACTAAAAATACAACTATCTTTTGTATTGGTATTTGACTATGCTAGAGTATTATGACTTCAATAGCTTTCACAAAAGACTTATACTTTATCTGTACTGATTACCAGCTGCTTAAATAGTCATAGATAAATTACTCTATTTTTCTTCCTCTCTCTTAGATCAAATCTACAAGCATGGAATAAAAAAAGAACTCTGACTCAATGATATTTGAAAGAACATTACATTAATAAGTGAAACGACTGATCAAAAGAAAGTTAATGCAGAACAGAATTTAAAATTCTCATGAACTCCAGAATTTCTGGAACCATGGAGGCTGAATGAGTCCCTGAAACAATTACCTGGAGATGACTTTAATATTAGCTTTTTAAAAAAGTTCTTAAATGCTCCCAAGAACCACAGATTCATTTCACAAATAACAATAAATGCTGCAAATAATTAAGAAAATCAGCAAATGGGAAACCATTCTTAATTATTATACTTGAATGAATGGAGCTGTTTTATTTTGAGGAGGAAAGTCAAGATATATACATAGACTCTTAGTGACAGACAAAATAAAATCCTCTAAGTAAATTTCTTTTAAAAATTCAAATTGATTCAGTGATGGAAATGCTTCCTATTAAAAACATGACTGACATCAGGGTTGGGGTTAAATTGAGAAAAACTGGATAGATTATATATACTGCATTGAAACAGATGAGGGAGAGAACAGTTTAAAAGTGATATATGATAGCATATTATGATTATCACAAGAATTCAGAATTAAGGTTGCACAGTGGAGTGCATTTGGGGCGGCGGCAGGGTTGGGGTTGGGGGGATTGTATACCAATGAAGAAGTTTATCTTTTGCTTTTCAAGGAGAGGAGCGAACTGGAGGGAGGGGGGTAGAGAAAAAAGTGCAACAATGAATGAATGAAAATCCAAAATCTCTGTAAATGTTCATTAAAACTAATAAAATAAATTTTTTTAAAAAGTCAAATAAAAGAAATTTATGGTCATATAATTAGAAAACACCTTATGTAGATTTTTTTTACTGAGAAAAAGATATTTTACCATTTTTTAAAAGAGTATTAAAGAATATAAAATTATATCTAATAAACATAAGATTTTTATGACTGATACTATTATTTCAAAAACCTGACAAAAATGTCAGAGCTTAGAGAGAGGCAAGGTAGGGGACAGAATAAGTATAGATAGATGACCCACATAGAAGAAAATGGGTCAGAAAAAAAGGGAGATACAGGGGTGGGAAAGTCAGGAGGGGTCACATGCACGAATATGTACAGTAAGAAACAAAGAGAGAGAGGGAAAGTCTCTACTCAAATCCACAGATCCAGACATTCACAGAGAGCAACATAACAAAGAGTGACATACAGATAAAAAGACAGAACAACAAGAGGCCCACATAGGCAGAAAAGAACACAAGCTGATAAAATCTGATAGTTTATAGTGTTATACATGCGTGAAATATTAAGTGATAATTCATTTTAAGGTAGGATCAAGGAATTTATCTTTAAAATTCACTCTATCAAACCTAATGGCATAAAAAATACTGTATCTTTTATATTTTTTAAAAAAGCTCTGATTGTCTAATTTTTTTTTAAAAAATTAGCTTTTTCTTCCCTTCATCTTATCCCATTGTAGATGAATTCTTACCTGCCTCCTTCAAAGCGACTGATGAGATCTGAAACCTTACTGGGTTTTTCTTTTGAGACACAAGAAGCAGAGGCAGGTTTAACTTCCTCCATCCTTGGTTTTGTACTAGATAAAGCTTTATGCCTGGGGGTTTGGTGTCTATTGGACGAAGGTGAATTCTGCAGATGTAATGGCTTTGGAGGCACTGTAGAAAAAGAATTAGTAGAATTCAGTATTTCTGGGATGGTATTTATACTTTAACAATAAAATTATGGTGTTCTGGGTGAAAAATACTTAGCACTATCGAACTTTTATAAATGAGTCTTTCAAATTTGTATTGAACCTAGACAAAGGGAACATCCAACATTTTGGATATCTGCTCTTTGTTCTACTGAAAATTTATATCCAAGATAGTTCTTTTCATTTTGCTAGCTTTAAATATGGCAATATTAAACACCTACGGGTATAACAATGGGCTCAAACATAGGAAGGATTGTGAGACTGGGGCAGTTTACACTGTGTTGTATTCAGGATTGCCATGAGTGGGAACTGCCTCAACAGTAAGCACCAACCAGGTATCTACAGAGAGCTACAGCATTTCTAACTCTGAGAGATAATATAGGGAGGGCTGAGGGTCTAGTTGTAGAGAGTTGTGCTGGCAACTCAAAAGTAGGCTGTTCAAATCCACCAGCCATACCAAGGGAGAAAGAGGGGCAATCTCTTCCCATGAAGAGATTTCAGCCTCTGAAAACCACTGTGGGGCCAGCTGACATTTTGACTCAATGGCACACAACAAAACAACAACATTAGAGAGAATATAGAAGCTATGATTCAAAAGAGGGAATTGAAGTTGCTAAATTTAAAATTAAATTCCTGTGATGGACTTCTGGCTAAAATAGCAGATATTTTAAAAACAGTGATGATGAATACATCAAAATGTAAAGCCACTACATTAACACAAAAGACAGCAAAGCAACAATAAGCAACAGTTACAAGGCGGCATTTAGTAATAGCTTTCCATTTAACAAAAATACTTTATCTTAAATAAAAACATATTTTTAAGTATTCCACTGAGCTTGGGACCATTATTTACATTTTCACCCCAGATGAATAACTGTCCTAAGGGAAACAAGGTTAACTTGATTTCATGACTGGTACATTGAGGGTACCATGGACTGCTAGAAAAATAGATTCATCCTGGAAAGGGTTAAACCAGGCTGCTCCTCTGAGGCAAGGAGTCTGAGGCTCCGTCTAACATACTTTGGACATGTTGTAAGGAGAGGGACATCATGCTTGGGAGGGTGGAGGGACAGCGCAGGACGGGAAGGCCCTCTGTGAGCTGGATTGACTCAGTGACTGGGGCAATTGGGATGGGTGTATCGGAGATGGTGCGATTGGCATAGGACAGAGCATAGTGTAGGGCTGTTGTACATAGGGTCGCTATGAGTTGCAAGCGACTCAACGGCACATAACAACAACACTACCACCACCCAGATCCTGGCTCCTTTCATTATTAACACAACTTCTCTGGTAGCCTAGTGGGTAAGAACTGTGCTGCTGACTAAAAGAAAGTAGATAATTGTCTCTCTTATGTTATACAGTCTCTGAAAAACCACTGAAGGGTAAGCTATGAGTAGGTTCCAACTTGATGGCAGTGAAATTTTAGTCTATCATAAACCTAGAAAAGGAAGGCTATAGAAGTTTATTATTGCCATTTTTTACATTATATATGGCTTTACTGATTATGCAAAGGTATTTGACTGTGTGGATTATGGCTAACATCGAAAAGAAAGGGAATCCCAGAACACTTATACCCAGATCAAGATTCTGAACAGAACAAGGGAACTCTACATAGTTTGTAACTGGGAAAGGTGTGTGTCAAGGTTCTATCCTCTCCATACCTATTTAATCTCTATGAAGAATATAGCATCAGGATCAAAGGAAGACTCATCAACAACCTGTTATACCAAGGACACAACTTTGCTTATGGAAAGTAAGGAAGACTTGAAATACTTGCTGCAGAAGATCAAAGACTATAGCCTTCAATATGAATTATATCTCAACATAAAGAAAACAAAGATTCAAACCACTGGACCTATAGAAAACATCATGATTGGTGAAAAGATTGACATTGTCAAGAACTTACTCATACTTGGATCCACAATCAACACACTTGGTGGTCACAGTCAGGAAACATATTGCCTTGGAAAAGTCTGCAGTCAGGGAACACTTGAAACTACTGAGAAGCAACAGTGTCAGTTTAAGAACTAAGGTACCCCTGATTCAGACTATGGTCTTTTCAATTACTTGCTATGCATCTGAGAGCTGGACAATGAATGAGGATGACAGAAGAATTGACGCCTATGAGCTGTGGTGTTGCAGAAGAACACTGAATATCCCATTAACAGCCAAAAGAACAAAGAGATATGCCTTGGAGAAAGAACAGACAGAGTGCTGTATCTGAGCATGTTGTTAAGAGAGGCTATTCCTTGGAAAAGGATATCATGCTTGGAAAGGCAGCGGGCAGTGAAAGAGAGGAAGACCCTCAACAAGATGGACTGACACATTGACTGCAGCAATGGGCTCACCTGCACCAGAGATAATGAGGATGGCATAGGATAGGAAGAGGTTCAGAACTGTTTAGCACAGGATCACTATGAGTTGTATTTAACTTGATAGTACCAAACAGCAACATTGTATCACTGTCTTGCATCAGTTATATAACTTTATATAGTTGTCCTGCATCAGTTATATAACACAAATCAATTGTTCCCTAAAATGTCTTTTACTCACTTAATAGTAACAGATATGCATGCTACATATTTGTGGATTACAATATACTCAAGGCTACAGAAGAAAACAAGTAGTATAGTCTACGTGCTGACTTACTGGCATTCATTTTTTTTAAAATGATATAACATTTTTTCTAAGATTAATATCCTAAACATAAGATAATATGTATAATTTTTATAGTCAGTTTTAATAGATCAAATAGATAATTCCTTTCTATTTTTTTACCCTTTTCCTACCCTCTGGGATGAGAGCTGGGGAAGGTTATCCCTTAAGTACATCTCCCATTTCACCCCAGCTGGCAACATTGGCTTTCTGTTATCTCTTTCATAAATTGAGCTAGCTGACAGTGGCCTGATGCTCATTGGCCTAGATTTCATGGTCTCTGTGCCAGCTATCAATTTACTACAGAGGAGAAGTAGTAGCACAATGAGCTAATAAGCGGAGCAATTAATTAATTTGATTCCTTTTCCACTCAAACAGAAAAATAATGGAAGCAAATCATGTGCACTTCTTATGAAAATGACACTAATTCCAAGATGTTCTGGAAGGATGGTAAATAAATATCTAATGGGAAGAAAGAGGCTTAAATAAATATTTTGCTCATGTTCAGGAATAATTCTCCCTCTAGAGCAATAGTCCACCAGTCAGTTTGTTGTGCTGTAGTAGCTTTCATGTTGCTGGGAGGCTAAAAGCTATGCCACTGGTATTTATATATCAGCAGGGTGACCCAAAATAGAAAGGTTTCCTTCTCTAAACTAAGACAGATTAGGAAACAAGGCTGGATCAGCAGGGTGACCCAAAATAGAAAGGTTTCCTTCTCTAAACTAAGACAGATTAGGAAACAAGGCTGGTCATCCACTTCTGAACAAATGGGCGCTAGAAACCCCCATGACTATCAGTGGATTGACTGATACAGGGCTGGAAGATGAAAGCCTTTCTAAAGGGCTAAAGCAAGAATATCACTTTAGAGTGTGTCTTATTCAAGCCATGAAATTTTCAAATGCTATTCCACTGGGCTCCACTGACAGTCAGGGGAGCATTCAAAGTAACTCAAGGCCTACATACATAATTAGCTTCTGGGCTTTGAAGGTGGGAAGGTCTGGATTCACCTCTGCCCTCTCTAAGTCAGATCTGGAGCACTGAGTCACAAGAAGTCAGTCCTGGAGCCAGAAGCTCAGGGAAAAGGATTTTTCCTCAAAATTACCTGAGACAGAAATACTTCCCTAAGCCTGGTACCTGGAATTTGGACTTAGAGCTTTCTAAACTCCTGAGAAACTGACAGCAGCATGAGGCACTAGGCATCACAGAAGTGAACTGCATCCCAATACGAATAACCAATTCTATCTTCAATGAGATGGAAAAGGCAATTTTCAATTTCATTTGGAATGGTAAGAGGCCCCGAATAAGCAAGAGAAACAAGGTAGGAAGCATCTCACTCCCTGATTTCAAATCATACTACACTGATGTGGTGTTCAAGACAGAGTGGTACTGGTACAATGACAGACATACAGATCAATGGAATAGAATTGAGAATACAGAAATCAGCCCATCTACCTATGGTCAACTGATATTTGACAAGGAGACGAAATAAGTTAAGTGGGGGAAATGACAACCTTTTTAATAAATGGTGTTGGCAAAATTATCTGCAGAAAACTCAAGCAAAATCCATACCTCATTCCATACACAAAAACCAACTCAAAGTGGACCTAGGACTAAAACCAAGGACTATAAACTTCATGAAAGAAAAGCTTGGAAGAACTCTAGAAGTCCTAATCTACATCATGAACAGCCTTCCAAACATACTGAAAAACTTACAACCAGAAGAAGATAAAATAGATGAATGGGACCTTCTAAGAATCAAACCCCCCTGCACATCCAAAAACTTCTCCAACAGTGTAAAAAGAAAGCCACTGGGAAATAGTATTTGGCAATGACATGTCTGATAAGGGCCTTATATTTAGAATTTATAGAATACTTGAGTGCCACAACAAGATAAAGGTAAACAACCCAATTGAAAAATTGGCACAGGATATGAATAGACACCTCACCAGAGAAGGCATTCATATGGTGAACAAACACAAGAAGTAGTGTTAAAAATCCATAGCTCTGAGAGATACAAATCATAACAAATATGAGATATCATATCATTCCAGTAAGAACAGCAAAATTCAACAGAGCATCAAACAACAAATGCTGGTGAGGTTGTGGAGAAATGGGAACCCTTATTCACTGTTGGTGGGAGTGTAAAAATGGTGCCACCATTATGGAAGGCAGTATAGCACTTTCTCAAAAAGTTGCAAAAAGAAATACCATTTGACCCAGAGATTCCACTACTGGGAATATACCCTAAAGAACCATAACTGCCACCCAAGCAGATATATGCACACCCATGTTTATCTCGGCTTTGTTCAT